ATATTCATGAGCCTTGGTGGTGACGTCATTAGCATTATATAAGGCAGTATAATTATGCATAAGTGTAGTTGGCGCAAAGGTRCTTCAGTTCGAGCCGCGTCCTCCCTCCCAACCCTACCTGCCTACTCATTGKTTTTATTCCTGCGAGYCTACTCGTCAGGGGTGACTCYWTRMYTTAATGCTARTGAGTAAGCAGGAAGGATAATGTACTATACTTTGCCTTTAATAAAATCCAAATTCACAGCTCACACATTTTTGACCGGTATTGAGATCAAAAACAGTGCGCGTCGATTTTCAATACGAGACTATTTTTTATTAACTTGTTACGAATAACATTTTGTGTTCAACTGACTTCAATTTTTTTAATGTGATATACGTGTATATACAGTGCTGGGACAAAGAAATAAAGCTACTAAAGCTACGACTATTCAATAAATCATCTATCTAAGAGAGAGGKCCTTTAATGCAGTACTGGAGAAAGCTAATCTCTCTATGTATCCAATCTAGCACTGCATCCTTGTCGTGCCACTACCCAACATCTCCAGCCATTTTTATGTCGACATTTTTGCATTTCTCGAAATGCATTCTTTGTAAAACTTCTGTATTGTCGAGAATATCGAAAGGCTCATCAAACTTGAAGAGATATTGGAAACTTCAAAAAAGAAAAGCACTCGCATTAATTGAAGTACGATATCATCTTAAAAAAAGAGAACTAGAACACTCACTTATCAAGGGATGTATTACATTCTATTTTGGTGTTCTTGCTGGTTCTGACCACTATAAAAGGCAAGTTGATGACATCTTGCTGTTGATCCTTTACCACGTTGCGCTTTTCCAGAATCAACAACTTGTACGATTTGGACTGTTGTGGGAATACACATGTAGCACTCGATTACATTTTGACTGTATAAATCGCATTTGTACAGACAAAGGAACAGCGTATTTGTTAGACTGAATTTTTGTGTTTGTATGTGGAAATTATACTGTAACAACAACTTTTAAATCGCACACTTTGAATAATAATTGTGACTTTGAATAATGATTTTTAACATACTTATTCAATTCGGTCCCTATTACCTGATCATGAATCTGTTGTAGCTTATTTGTTTTCTCTTTGATGTATTCTTCAAGATGTTCTTTTTCCATCTAAATTTAAAAAAGATTTTGGTCGGTGATGAGTACTTCTTCGAAAGAACATATTTTGCACAGACATCTCCTTCACTTCCTTACATGTGCAACAATCACTTTGAATTGCAGGCGTCAACAATCACCGTAATCTACAACAACCTTTTCTTAAATAGATCTMGAAAGGCGTTCTCAAAACCAAACTGACACTCCGGGAATAGAGGAGAGAATCACATCAAATACCAGGCAATGCCTGGACTAGATAAACATGTGAACTAAGTCTTAATAATACCTTATGACTGTAAATGATAACCACCAGTCATCATTACCTTCAGCTGCTGCTCCTCTTGGCTGGAACCCAGCCAATTGATATTTCTTCCATTTCTTGATATGATATCCATGGCTTGAAAAACATTTAGAACATCGTATATTCTTCGTGTAGCCTTTTCCTAGTAGGAAATCAACACACCACATAATGTCTGGAATTGGTTAACCACAATTTATTGTTCATCATTTTATTTTGAAGTCCGTGCCAAATGTGTGCATTCACGAAGTGTTATAACACAAATGACTCACCTTATCGGTGATTTGGGAACTTGTCAACTTACTATGTATCTCTTCAAGGATCTGAAACGAATTAAAATCAAAATTTAAAATATTTGTTTCGTATCTAAATTGCAACAGAAAGTTTCTCAACGGTTTTAGACTCAGAAACAACTGATGACTAATAACATATTAAAAGTCTATAAAAATCTAATTAGGGGAACATCTTTATAAATACGAATCTTTTGGGTTGATTGGAAGTGCGCATAACGGGTTGGAAAGTAAAATTTGATATGGAAATCGAAGAGTTGGGAGAATGTGGCATGAGTTTTTACTGAACATGCCAAAATTGGTCGAAAAGCGCATTATAAACAGGATTGTGATCGATCACGCAATTTATAATGTTTTTGGCATGATAAAATTACAGAAGTCGTGTATCACTTAAAAATTTATTGCAGGGGGCATTAACTTTTTAAGGTCATGCCTGCCGGAATATTAGATTTAACTCCTTTCGTAATCTCGAAGCTTGGTGATCATTTTCATTCCTGGTAGTAAGTTCCCATGATGCCTTGCGGTCATTTTCATGCTGGGCATGAAGTCCCATAAAGCGTTGCAACCGTTTTTTCATGCTGGGCATGAAATCCCATAAAGCGTTGCAACCCAGTTTTTCATGCTGGGAATTTATAAATGTTCGCAATGCCTCCTGGGTATTTATGAGTCGGTATGAAAATGATCCTAGTGATGATAAAATTGTGCATTTGCTGCATGTAAAATATTGGCTCATGCCCTATAAACACTTTTAAACACTTATGCCATGTCGCATACGCTTCAACGTAATTTTTCCCGTAATACGCATGAAATATTTCGCTTTATGCTAAAAATGATGTTAGATGAACGCTCGGCTTCAATCCATGCCGGAAACGCGTATTTTTATAATTTAAAATAATATTCTCCGACGATTTTCAAGCTTGTGAGGCATGAATCATGCCTTTTCTATGCCAAAAACGCTTAATATCGCTTTTTTCTACGGTCTCTATGTGAAAATGGCATGAAATCGTGCAAAATTCATGCCAACAACTGAAAATTTGCTAAAAACTGTCCTAAATTTTACTTTCCAACCCGTTGCATGGAAACGAGGCTAAAAAGGACTGTATTCAATTCACTCGAATATTGCTCTATTTGAAGCTAAAAATAAGTCAAATTAAAGTATTTTAGTCTCTTCTTGTAAGTTCAAGACTGATATTTATTTTTTTTTTTAGCATATTGCAATTTATTATACGTTGATAAAGTAGGGCCTGATCCAGGTATTAATTTCATGGATATTCATTTGTCTACTTATAACTTCCCATAATTTAAAATTTTCAATAAATTATATGTCTCAGTATGCATATAATAGAAAAAGTTATTTTGGCCTTTAAAAGTCTCGTTTTATATGTGAGGATTGATATCACAAACGGGCGATAAAGAATTAAGACCCATTTGATGCACTGGGTGAATGAACCGCGGCTTTCGGACGTCGAGATATTTCCTCCAGACCCTTTTTGTTATGTACTCTATCATATACGTAGTAAATATTGCTATATTTTGTCCTTGAAGTAAAACCAAATTTATAAAAACTTTCGATCGTTTCATGTTGTTATGAAGATACCTGATTGAAAAAAGGAAGCCAGATTCCCAAAGGTTACATCATGAAGACCGAAAGTATGATTCTTTTCTACGAGTAATGCTACTCCAGAACAACAACAGATCAATTGATAAAGCATATCATCGACCAAGCTAGTACAGCGCAGATCAGTGACAGTACACTACTTATTAAGAACTCCAAGAGAAACATTGTTAAAGCAAGAGAGGAACACAACGATACCATCTTACAGCAGCTTCGAGCTAAGATGAGCCCTGAACAACTAAGAGCAAATGACCTAGCCATTATGAAAGGTGCCTCGAGCTGGCTGACTACATTGCCATTAAAAACAGAAGATTACAATCTTAACAAGAGGGAATTTTATGACTCACTCTGCCTCAGGTACCGTTGGACACCAAAATGCCTACCGCCTGTATGTCCATGTGGCAAGAGTTTCAACGTTGACCATGCGATATCCTGCATGAAAGGAGGGTTCGTGCACAGGAGACATGACGAAGTGCGAGACTTGTTTGCATCACTACTTCAGGATGTTTGTCATGATGTCGAGATAGAATCACCTTTACAAGCCTTATCTGGAGAAGCTTTGAGTTGAAGTACTAATCAATCTGATGAAGCGCGTCTTGATGTCAGCGCATGAGGATTTTGGAAAAGGGGCCAACGTGCATTTTTTGAAGGGTTTTTAACCCATTCTGGAAAGAGCCACCTTAACCAAAAGCTTGAAACGGCATTTACGTCCAACGAGAAGGAGAAGAAGAGACACTATAACCAACGAGTCATTGAAGTTGAGCACGGTTCCCTCAGCCCGCTCGTGTTTTCACCTTATGGTGGATGCGGAAGAGAAGCAGAAGGTTTTCTAACTGAACTAGCGAAAAGGTGTCTGAGAAGAAACAAATGTGCTACAGCATTGTCATCCCTTGGTTTAGAGCCAAACTGTCATTTAATCTATTGCGATCTGCTGTTCTATGCATAAGGGGTTCACGGACATTACGAAAGAAAACAAATTTTGACGTCAATGACGCTATTTTTTCAAATTTTATCGAAAATATGTAATTTTTATCGTTATCTATTATGTATAGTTTAAAACACGAGAGAGTGTTTTATCAGGTATAAAGATTCGAGCCGAA